TTGTTTTGGCAAGTGCAAAATGTGGAAAAATTACAGCCATTGAAGGTTCCCAGTTACAGTAATCCATCATCCACCATTTGTTTCTGGATGTATTAACGCTCCATACAGTACAGCCTTTGCTTCACAGTATGTTAACTTTTTAATACAATACTAATACTAAAATCACACAAAAGTAAGAATAAAATACAAGATGTGCCTTGTATGTATGTATGTATGAATAACTTGCTGGCAAGGTTTTTTTCCATTCAACAACACAGCTCAGGGGAGCAGCACAGCAGACCTCAGGTACACTTTGAGGTGAAATCTGGGTGTAAAAGGCAGCAATTCATTGCAGAGTGAGGCAGATAATGTTATCTAACTATTCCGTCAACACCTCCGTCCTGATGACCAACTACTATGGAGGAGGACTGCACACGGTTGGCTATGCAGCAACACCACCTGCCGTGACACGTAGAGTCAGAGGGTTATGCTATTGTTCATATAAAGGGATCACACTTTCACACAGTTAAAAGATTACAGCAGTTTAAACTGTAAGAATTCTTATTTCAACAACAACGTGGCCGTCAGGTGGGTGATCCCATGCAAGCTCTTCAGAAGGGTTCCCCCCAGGAGCTCCAGGTCTTGTGAGAAACAGCTGACTTGGTTGACCAGTTAGTTGCGGTGAGAAAGTATGGGAGGGAAGCAAAGGTGTGATTTTGAAAGTTAGAGTTATATGCCAAAGAAAAAAGAGAGCTACAGGGATGCACTTACTGTACCTAATATTACTGTAGGGCTGGGCAATAAAACAATACAGATAATTGCAATATCATTTTCCTCAATAACAATAAAACAAATATTCAATAAATGTTGATGTAATTAATTTGAATCATGAAGCAAATTTTCTATTAAGATTTTACTTAATTTTACTCATCCATATTTGTTGAAAAAAACATTTTATCACAACTGCTTTGAATGGTCTACCCCAGATTTGTTAAGAGATCAGCTCTTTGGCAAGTGTTTGTCATGCTCTGACCATAAAGAATAGTTTAAAACCAAAATTAACCATCTGCTTTCTTCAACTTTCACTGTGTAAAAATCAACCTTCAATCTTGAAAGAAATAATGATTTGACATTTTATCATTATTGATATCGAATTATATGAAATATTTATATATATTTATATATATATATAATATTTTTGGCCATATTGCCCAGCCCTAACTGGTGTGCCTTTTTTTGGTGTGTGTATCTTGACAGCAACCTTGGCCGGGCTTCTTTCTGCGTGGGGTTCATAATTTCTTCTCTGGGTTTCCCGGGACCGCCGGTTTCCTCCCACATCCCAATGTGAAGTGAAAACAATTATGAATGTGTATGTTGTCTCTCTGGGTGTAAGTCCCACCACGAGTGACAACTTGTCTTGGGAATTTCCCTGCCTTTTACCCAAGGTATGCTGGGTAAGCTCCAGTTCCCTCCCTGACACTGAATCGAAATAAGTATTCCTTTGCGTCGTATTTTTCATTTCTTCCCCTACTCTTTTAAAAGCATTCTTTAGTGTAATCTTTGACCTTTGACTGCTACAGGTCCAGCTTTTCATGCTCTGCTACAAGAGCTGTAGTGAGTTTCATAAGGAATGAAAATGTAGTCAGTCATAATTAAATGGACTGAGGGCCGACTGCAGTCTAGACTAATATTCATATTCAGCTGTTTCTTCGTGTGTTCTAAACTGATATGATCAGCGGAGAGAGGAAATTACAACAAAAAACACAAAGCTTTCATCATGTTTAGTTAAGCTCCCATACTGCCACAATGTCAAACCAGGACAAAGTTTCCACACTTTTCAAAAGTTATTCATGGACTTTTGGCAGCGTGGGTCTAAATGAGCAAAGTATAAAAAAACTTGACAAACAAAAGAAAATTAAATGCACCTTTAATTACACCAAAAAGAGCACCATTGATAATGCCTCTATCCTACTTCTGCTTTTCTCTTTGTGTGCGTTTTAAGCGAGGTGGACGTTTGATTTTATAAACAAGACACAGCACAACAGCCCTCGCACACTCGAGAACACATGTTCAGCATCCATCGTATCAACAGCAGAAAATTCATAACTAGCCTGCCAGAAATTGCCTAAATCGATTCAAATGCAGTACTTACAGTGTGTCTTAATTACTGTGAAGCAGAACAATGCAAATCCTGACAGGAAGAAAGCTCTTCTCTTAAATATGCGCCTGCTAAATACACCTCATACAGAAGACAGTGATGAAGAGTTTTGCAGTTCTTGGCTGAAAAGGACAAATGCAGTTTGTGGCTCGTGACTCAACGGCATAAAAAGTGGATATACAATCTTTTCAGTCAAAATGTATTTTCAAATCACAAATGACATGCTAAAATAATATACAAATACATTGTGTTGTGTTGTGGAGGTACTATGCCAGTCAGGATTTCTTTAACCCAAAACCCTGCTTATGTAAACAAGCTAAAAACAGAAAAAAAAGTTAAAAAGTCATGAATAGATACAAGTGAACTGACACGTTTTTCACAGCACATTTTACCAGCAATTACAGAGATCAGCATAGATCATTCATAACCATTACTTAAAACCGGTGCTAAGGCTGTGAATTGATTTTTGACATTTCGAGTAATTCTGTAATATTACTTTCTAATTTCAGGGTATTTACAATAAGCAAATTATGAGAAAATTATAAAATATGGTAAGTTGAAAATTGTTTCACTACCATGTAAAAAACAAGAAGTATCTAACAATATAAATCATATCTCTGTGTTTGTTTTTTAATTCATTCTTACATGTAGAAATCAGTCTTGTGTTCATTTTCTTGTATTCAAATAAACATCTTGCCATCTTTTCCTCCTTTAATATTTTAAACGTATTCAGCACACATTGACTGTGACTGTTAATCTAATGTATTCAACATTACTGATGGGTTTGGCACATGCATATGTGTGTAATTATATACGTTTCTCATCTGTGTATTACTTAAGATGCATACATCACTGTGAAACAGGAAATAAGTTTAAAAAATTAAATAAAATGAAGCACCAATATTAAACTATCGGCTCTTTAAAACCTTAAGAGGTATCTCCGTACATGTATACTTGCATTTACATTTACATGCCAGTGGTACTCTGTGACCCAAGATATAACAGTTACAGTGTTTTTAAGTCCAGGTCTTGTTCCTATGTTTCTGTATTCCATATACTGGCCAGTGCCTACAGCTCAAGGAGATTTTTTTTGTACATTTCAATGTGTAGTGGAGTGCCTCACTGTTGTGAGTGAATATCGGCTCACTGACTCATTAATAGAAGACAATGCTGTCACCTACTGATAAGCCTTTGGTGAAGAATACCACAGATAACCCGCTCCAGTGGCTCAAAAATAAAATTAGTTTCTATTTGAAGAGAAATGTCCGAAATAAGAACCCCAAAAAACATACAGTATGCAGACACAGAGCAGCTACCAAGTTCAGTCTGCCCTTTGAGACTTAAAAAATAATTTTGTCCTCACCTTCAACCTTTTTGTTGTCACAGTTGTTTCAGTGAAATTGGTGGATATGTGGTTGTCAACTCCACTTCACACTCAGTCTCATTGTGCCCCCTTGTGGTCAAACAAGTGAATGTCTTCTTCCAACAGAGTGCAACAATCTTTGCAAGTGTCTGCTTTGTGTAAAACATCCAAACTCTAAATTATCTTTATTTGGCTGATCACTTCCCTCTTAGAATTTTACCTTCCCTCTTTTCAGTAGTGATTTCTGGCATTGCCACGGCACCACAGCGATCCCTCTGTGTGGTGGTGATGTCGGACTCGTAGGCGAAGGAGTCCCTCACTGCCGTTTGCTATCCAGAATGGCCTTCCAGTCGTCCGACCAAGAAAGGAGTCGCCTCTGGGAGGGGCTGATGGGGAGATGTTTGTTGTGGCAGGCAGTGAACAGGATGTGCTCCCACGTTGGTTTGGACTCCACACCTGATCAGAAGACACATTAAGGCACAAACATTACATAAGCGACAACCACACATATTTCACTGCGGAGGAGTACAAACCGTACAAACCACGGCTTTAGGCAACCCAAAAGACTCTTATAAAGCGCAAATGAGGCACTGACTCACATGCCACCACACTAACAGGATTATGCACTCCTTATCATTTCATGTTTTTTTCCATTCCGGCTTCCTTTTAATCTTTAAAACACACTTTCATGCATGGTGAATGCTGATCATTTCTTTACATCTTGATTGTTATGTCACTACTTTTTGTCAGTCAGTGATCCTTGTCAGTATGCCATTTCAGTTATTAAAACTCAGTCAAGGAAAAGAGCTCAACTGCGATTTTTCAGATCAGAGAACTTGCAATATTGTATTTCTGTTCGCTAAACCTCTCCCGGAACTACGACTGTCCATTCACAGTTTATAATAATAATAATAAGTTTACTGACCGTAATCAGGCGCGCAGGTCTGTCGAGCTGTGGATTTCTGTGCACAGGTGCCTGTAGTGAGACCACTACTCAGACTAGAAAGTGTTTCAAGGGCCGTGTCATTTTTTTTAGCCTTTACAAAACCAAAAACTTGAGAAAAAGTGTAAGGAATGGTATAAAAAGTGTGTCTGTCTAACTTAAGGTGCAATTGTTAACATTTCCTGTTAACTAGTTTACTACCTACAGCAGTAACCGAGCGTTACTTCCAAGACTAATAAACATCATTAACTACCTGTGTGTAACAGGTTACATTTACAAACAGCCCTGTTCATGATTGAGCACTAGGGGTGCAAGATATTGACAAAATGTGATGTTGCGATTTTGATGAGGAATATTGAGATAATGATTTTTATTTCGATATTCTTAAATACATGTAAAATGTATGTTACAATACATGTTTTTGGGCCTTGTTTCTGATAGGTTTCCCCTTTTATCTCTGCTGTTTCGTTGTTTCCCTGAGCCACACTATCTTCTTACTTTTCTGTCGCTCCTCTGACTCGCTTTTCTTTTTTTCTCTCTCCGTTCACTCACACGTTGTCAAAGTATGCAAACACCCGTCACATGACATGCTCCGTAGCGTATGCTTGTGTAGTGGACCTATTTGCTCACACTTTCATATGATAGGGCAACTGGCCAATGAAACATAAGTTTTTATTTCAAGTGGGCTCTAAATTGGACTCAGCTAAGCCACACACCCAACGGATGCATCTGTCTGCAAATTAAATGGAATATTGCATACGTTCTGTTTCAGTATGATATTGCGCAATGTGAGTCAATATATTGTGCATCACTAGATAGCACATCTACGGTGTGGTATTTCCCCACTGTGTGGAAGCTGGTCCTGGATGCTATTAGAGTTTAGGCTAACATTAGCATTAGCTCTTTATTGGATTTGGGCAAATTTATACTGCACCAGAGGCATTGATTAGTTCTCATCTTAAAAGCCCTTTTCTTTTGATTAAAAATAAAACATAATGTTTGAATATATGAGCCTGATAGAGTTATGATAAAACAAAGAACAATTTTTATTTTATTTATTTTATTGGCCGGGACATCTCTGCAGCACAATAGTATCTCCTTTAAAATGGTATTTTGACATCCATTTTGCCTTTTAACACATATGGCTTCTGCAATTTGAAAATTGCAATTGGCCATATTGCAAATTCAATAAGAATGCGAGTAACTGTTCAGCACTATAATGGAGCTAACTTTAGCTTAATTAGCTGGTCTGTTATTGCTCTGGGAGCTGCACTGTCATTATTATCAATATAAAATAACAATAAATATCAATGTAGTTCAGAAGGTCTGTTACTTATTGACTAAATTAAAATGTCAATTAGCAGGCATTTAAATGCTCACGTGTTTCCAATCCTCACCTAGAATGTCAGGCTTGTCATCGATGAGTATGTCTCCGGTGATTACTGTCTTGTCTCTGGTCAGGATGACCTGCTCCAGAAAGTCATGACCCAAATGATTCTCTACCCATGCATACTAGACACACACACACACACACACACACACAGCAGATGAGATCTAATTAAAAAAAGGAAACACAGTAGTCATTTCAAAAGGGAACTGAATTGATGTTGTTGATTGACACAGGGCTTACCTTCTCATATGGGCAGTGTTTGTAATGCTTTATAGGGCTGGTACAAATAAAGACATCTGTGCTGCAGAAAGAAAGGGAAAACAACAGGACCAGAGTGGAAAAATTAAAAACATACAAACATTTTTATATCCTAGCTGTTTATTATGAGATCAGACCATATGGCAGATTTCCCTGATAAGAAAAGGTTATTCAGGCGCTGGCGGTTAAGGCAAGCCATTCATTTCCACCATGAGAGGAAATGTAAACATACAGTTTCATAACTATATGACAGCTATTTTTAGACGTTATTCCACTGTTGTGGGTTTCTGAGAATGCTACTGGAAATGGCAATGGCACAGCCTCCCATATATTGACTCTAGATTTCACTTGAATGAATGAATGTAGTGACATGAATTGTCTCACTACAGATGCGGGTTAGAGGATGCTGTCACCAAAGCATCTACAGTGCAGGGCACCAAAAGCTGGTTCTACAGGGAATCCCAGCCCAAATTAGTATTTGCCAGGCATTAGCTTTGAAAAACTTACAGAGCTCATCAGATCCAACATTTACCATCTTTAAATCTGACCCGTACCGATGCGGGAGTCAGGGTTTTTTAATACCCGAACTGTCAAGGAATTTAGGGGTACTATGACACAGGTTTCTCCCAGGTCAATTTCTGAGCTAAAGTAAGCCAAAGGAGACAGCTAGTGACTCTCCAAAACAGTAGGTCAGACTCCTTTGTCCTTTCTGCCTGCTTAGTCGACTGACTGACGCAGCTGTCTTGATAAGGATGCACTGTTTTCCATTGGTTAGGTAACCCAAGGTCGAGATTATCTTTATTTTGTTTCCTTACAGACAGACTGACTGGCTCGAAGCAGAAAGTGTTGCATGTGGCTTGAATGACACACAACGAGACATAAGATTAACTTAGGTAAGCGCAGTGTCTTGATTTGAACAAATATAAGATAGAGGCTTCACACATGTATAAAGGAGTGAACAATAACCTTATTTGGACACTTAGCGAATCTCTGGGAAGGATAAAAATCCTTAAACATGAAGTATTATTCAGATTTAGTGTTGGCATTACATGTGATCAGATGTTGGATGCCCTGCATCTCCTCGGCCAGGCTCAATAAACAAATGCTGTGTAAGTCTTCATCAGCCTCCGAAATTTCTTCATCACACCTGAAACTGGCTCACTTTATTTCCATGACACGCACCCACCCAACCTGTTGTGAGACCCAATCCGCACTGCCCTGTTGAATAGCAGCAACACAGTAACCCTTCATTAAAGACATACAGCTCCAGGATTTCAACAATTTCTATGTGCTTCAAGCCCACAACCAACTCAACTGTAAGCGCGCTCACTGCCCCACCCATCCGAACCCACGACATTTTCCAGTAAGCTTACACAAACCCGCCCTGACTCGTGCATCACTATCAGCCGAGGTTTCTCAGTGTTATAATTGTTGGGATGAACAGAACTCTACGCCTCTCCATCAATGTCTCTTATAACTCCTATAGCGACTGTGGTTGCAGGCTTTTATTTTTCTATAATGATGGCAATGTGACACATTTCCCATCCATCACAGTCTGCATGTCTGTTTGCCGTCACCACATCACACACCGGAACTGCACGTCACACTGGACACCCACAGGTACCGATCATAGAGGCTACCACACATTTGCAATATTCATTAAACTACCATAAATGTTGCTCAGAAACCTGTCTATGTTGCATGTGATTATTATATCAGCAGCAACCAAATTAGTTTATGCATCAGATGAGTGGACTGCATGAGTGGACTTCAAAACTTACTTATCTAGCTTGGCCATCTCCTTGACCGCCTCCACTCCTCCTGGCAGCGGATCCAGTTCTACGAAAAAGTCCTTGGACTCCCAGATACTGATGGCTTTTTCCTGGAATAAAATAAACAAAAAACACAAGCAGCTTACTATCAGTGTACATTGATAAGGAGTACATCTAAATCTGTAAAAATCTACACACCCTTGTGAAATAGTTTTTGAAATGTCAACATCACAACAACAACAACCTGAATGCCAGACTTGTTCCGTCTTTAATGTGATCTTCCAACAAATGGAAAACAAAGAGGAAAATAACAAAGAGTTAATCATTAGGACCATTTTAAATAAAATAAATAAAATAAAAACTACAACACCCCATTCATAATAATCATTTTGGACGAGCCTCCAAAATGATGTAAGGACGGGGAGAAAACTTCTGAAGGAGGCTAAGAAGACCGACTCTGAAGCGTGGTGGTGGTAGCACCATGTTTTGGGGCTGCTTCTCTTCAGCTGGGTCAGGGGCTCTTGTCAAGATAGACAGGACATTGACAACTAGTTCCAAATGTCAAGATATTTTGCCACAAAACCTGCTGGCCTCTGTCAGAAAGCTGACGCTGAAGAGGAATTGCACATTCCAACATGACAGTGACCCAAAGCACACATCCAAGGCATGGCTTCAGAAAAGGAAAATCACAGTATTGGAATGGCCCAGGCAAGATCCCCGAACTCAGTCCCATCGGAAACATGTGGAATGACCTACAAAGAGAGCTGTACACAGGCGAGCACCTCACAAACTGAAGGAACTTTAACTTTTTTGCAAAGAAGAGTGGGATAAAATTCCAAAGTCTAGATGTACAAGTTTAACAGAGTCTTCATTTTTCAATAAGAGGCTGATTTTCCAAATTCAGTCCGTGTTGGCGGGCCCTTGAGCATAAGCCAATCCTTATCCGTAAGACTTTCTGCTGTAATAAATACAGAGCACATGGCCAGCAATACCATTATTTGGATAGGTGTGCAGACTTGTGCAAGCAGTTTTTTCCCAATGGATTGGCTGTACTATAACAGTGTGCGGGATCATAATTTAGGATACATCTATGCCTCACCAACTTGTGCAGGATTAGCAGACATGTAAACACCAGTAAGATACTAGTGCAAAATCCAATTTATTAAAATAAAAGCTTTAAATAGTCTGTTGTTAATTAATTAGTTTAGTTTCTGCTTTGTCACTAGTGCAAAATCCAGAAAATACGTTTTTTCCACAGAAAAAAACCCTTCAAATTCATGTGACATTCATACACTTGACTATGAACACTATCTCAGTGGGTCTTAAAACACTGTAAATAAAAACACCTCTAATATGCTCTTATCACCTCTGAATTTTGCTGATTAAGATACTGGCTACTCCTCAGGCCTTTCTGTCCAGTCAGATGAAATTCATAAACAAAATATATATTGTGGTTGAACTGGTCATCACTCAAATGCATGCATGGGACACTGGGTGGGAGTATAGGCCCTGCTTATTTCAAAGAACTGCTCATCTATATAGCCCATTAAATAATGTTTCTGTCTGAGGAACCAGCAATATTTCATGTTGGTTAATATCAAACCTCAACTGCAAACGCTACAGTGAGACCTGTAGTTATTTTTAAACAGTCTGTAATATATTGTTCATTAAATTCTGATCAATGAAATTATTTGTGTGGGGACCCGGGAAAATGGTTCTGTGTAAGACTGCAAATTGTGATTTTCAATAGCTCACTTACACACAGGTCACTCCTCAGCTGCCCGTACTGCGTTGACACCCAAAACCCTCTTCGGTCATCCAGGGTGATGTAGGGCTCGTCCGGATACCTGGCCCGGTACTTCTTGAGGAACCCCCCCTCGAAGTCCGCCAGCACCCCGTCCATGTCAACCAGAACCCTTAGTCTCTTACCCGGGGCAGAGGAGGACGACATGTTTACGCAAATCCTCTTAAACGGATCACGTAGCAATGTTTTCCCTCTTCCGAGTAGGCGTGTTGTCCTGGACAGTAAAAACATAGTTGACTATTGACAGATGGCTGCAGCAGTACCGACAGCTGTCACCAACAGTTACCGTTAACCCTCTCCAACCGACGAGTGCAAACAGTGGAAAAGTCCGCATGGGAGTCGAAAAGTTTTCCAAATTATGTGGTAGTTAAACCGTGTTGTTATTAGCACCTAGCATTGGTCGTGTTGTTATTTGTCCTTTCGTGAAATTTTGTTTCACTGCTGGCTTTACTTTATCATTCTGAGCGTCTTTCTGCTAGCCAGCTGCGGTTGAGCTAACGGTCGCTAACGTTAGCCGACAGGCTACTCGAACAGCAGCAGTCAGGTCAAATGTAACATGCCTTTGGCTACAGTGTTACTGGGAGCTGTTTGCATCGTTTGTCAGTGTGTTTTAACTTCCCGGCAGCTACCCCACAGCCTTTCTCAAACCCACAGCATCTGAACAGTGGCTGCTGGAGCAACCTGAACTGAAACGAGTAGTCGCCTAACATAACTGGTACCGCAGCACCAAGGGAAGAAAAGCTCAGCAGCTAGAACAAACTGTACGACAAGCCTGCTTGCAGCAAAGATATGTTAGAAGAACGAGATGGCTCACTCCTCTGTTGACAATGCGTGACAGCCATGCACAGTCACAATATGCAGTGAACCGTTTTCCGGAATCCATTAGTTGAACATACAATTTCATAACATAATTAAAATCAAGTGTATAAGGGTAATGAACCAATGTTTAATAGACTTCCATTCCACACTGTAACAAACAAAATAGCAACAGCTTCAAGTCACCAGCACATGTGCCTTTAAGGCGTATTATCTACTTAATTTAAATTAGGTATCAGGGCATCTCATTAATATATTTGATTTTCTCAATTGTTAACTGTAAAATCAGGGAACTCCAAAATGATGGATGGATGGACAATCAGAATCAGAATCAGTTTTATTGCCAGGTACTGGTACACATATGAGGAATTTGACCCAGGATTGTACATTGCTCATGATGTGCTTACTTATACAATAATAAAATAATAATATAATAAAATAAAATCAGACAAACTACAGAGTAGACAACACTAATATACACACTATGAACAAAACAATATAGACATATTGACAAATAGTGCAGTAATTAGAGTGCAAAGGATGCAAGAGTAAACTATTGTCATTATGTACATGTTGAAGGTGGATATGATATACAGGTACACATACATGTACACATGTACAGTGTGATGGAGCATAGTGCAAAAGGATGCTGGAAAAAATAAATAAGACCTATGACCTGAGGTAGGTGTGTTGGTATACAGTATATACAATATGACATAGTATGAACATAGTAAGAACAGCACTGAAATAGAGAATGGTGAATAAATAAATAATAAGTGGAAACCAGTAAACAGGTGCTGATTAGAGACAGAGTTACTGGGTTATTGCACAGGAATTGTTCCTGACACTGTGAGTCAGAAATCAGCTGTTCATCAGAGTGATGGCTTGTGGGAAGAACAACCTTACATTTAACCAGTTCTCAGTTCTTAACAAAACATAAGTGTTATGTTATATATTTCATCGGAAAACACAAAAACAGTCACAACCAAAATATTTACAAAAATAGCTGAATTTTTTACAAGAAACTTTGGTGTCTTGTCTATATTCAGTCTATAATAAATGGATGCTATAAACTCAGACAGGAGCTCTTCCATGTTATAGCATCTTTGTCGAAAACCCAGTAGATTGCGCGTCAGTTCCTGTATTTCTGTTTTTTCCTTAAAGGGAGAACTGACACTGCAGTCTAAAATAGACAACTGTAGTCCCCTAACATATAAGACAAGCACAATAAGTTACAATTTCCTAATAAAAATAACATAGTGGAAATAATGACAATCAAAGTTACAAATACTTTAAGCAAATCGTGCGTCTGGCCCTTTAAGAATTCAACGGTCGGTCCGTAAACTCGTTCCAGGCTGCTCTGTTCTTATGATCTCGCGACAGTTTCTCCTCAGTGGCGGCTGTGTGGCCCCCTGTCTCAGTCCGGACGGAGTTGTTTCTGACGTTTGAATGAAATACAGTGCTAATTACCTCCACTTTGGACCCAGGAAATAATGGCTTCAGCCTTGGAGCAGTTTGTGAACAATGTGCGGCAGCTCTCCGCTCAAGGTAGGGATGCTAAACTCATTCGAATGGGAGGTATTAGCTAGGTAGCTAGCATATGCTATCCAATGCCTTGCCGATAGCTAGGAAGCCAAACTGGTCAGAGCCCTCTTTCTGCTTTATCATGTAAACACACCGCAAAAATGACTTTTTCTGACTGCGAGAGTTCTGTAAAGTATCACCATAAGGTGCGTTAGTACACGGGGACGCCAAGGATAATCGCGAACTAGGTAGCCCATCAAACAAAATGTCAGAATTATACTTTTTGTTTTTGATCTAGAAAATAATTTCTGGGGATTGCCTACCGGTAGTCCCGCCCCGGCCCCACATGATTGGCTGACAAACTGAATTAGCGATTGTTATTGGTTCAAAGTCATCTGTCAATCACACTTGCATTACCTCTGTTGCAAGGCCTTGACAGGACACTTGACCGGCCGATTTATATTTAAATACTCAGCCTCAACGTGATAATTATAAACAGTTTTGTAAGTCTGTTTGTTTTTTACATTTGTCTACATTTGTGAAGAATAGCCTTTTGGCAATCATAGACAAGAAAATTTTAAAATAAAAATAATTTTCTTTAATAATAATTTGACCCCTTTAAAGAAGAACATGAAGAACATGCCTCTGCATACTTGTAAAAAGTACTGCACTCTAATTTGGTTGTGGATTAAACTTTACAATGACCGTAAAGCGGGCATGTTATAATAACATTTTTAGTTTTGGCAACCAGTGCAGTCACATCTTTTGTCCGTGTGTCTTGCAAGGCATTTGGAAGCTGAAATTTAATGACATTAAATCCTGTTTAACAACCTAATTTTATGAAACGGGGGGGCATGCCTCAAGGCAGTGATTTCTAAAATTTGAATCTAGTATTGCAATGTAAACTGCCTTAAATATGAGAGATGTGTTTTTTTCCAATTATCAAAAGGGCATGTGAGACTGGCCAAAGTGGTTTACTTTCTTCTCTGTTCTCCTGCCTCCTACCCCTCCAGGCCAGATGACTCAGCTGTGTGAGCTGATCAACAAGAGTGGGGAGCTGCTGGCCAAAAATCTGTCCCACCTGGACACGGTGCTGGGGGCCTTGGACATCCAGGAGCACTCCCTAGGCGTGCTGGCTGTGCTGTAAGTAGCCCCCCTTTCCTTATTCTTTACAGTTTTGCCACCATCAGTGTAGTTAGCACCAGTTAAGAACTCTTCCTCAGTCTCTAGTGATGTCCGCTGCTGTCTTGTTTGCCTTTGTGTTCAGTTCTGTCCAGTCGTGTGTTTCTCTGCTCTCCTGCCTTCATTTTGCTACTTGCTTCTGCTTCATGTTTTTGTTTCTGAACTGGGCCAAGAGATTCTGTTATTGTTTTGTTTGTTGAACGTGATGTTTTACATTTTGTGGTGAATACGGTAAAGGTGGTGGGACTTTTGAGAAAAGTAGTTTAAAAGTAGAAAATGGTGCACATGACTTTGGCGCCAGAGTTTTTATGTGAGTTTGATATAAATAAATCACATAAATGATCCAGTATTTGCATGTTATTTAAAGGGTGCCAATTCCTTCTTAGTATTATGATGTTTTTATATTATTATAGTCGGCCTGTTGCATGTAGCATAGCAAATCTGATGTAGTCACAAAGCAGCTAAAGGCTACCTGTTGCATGTACAACTAATAATGTAAGCATTAAATCATTTGTATTGTAGCAAAGCAAGTGATTATGTCTTATCATTAAGTAAATCAAGAAATGCCAGTGCTGAATTTTAAACAGCTGTAAAAATTATGTTTAAGTCATAGAGTTTGATTGTGCATGGTCTAAAATCCAATTTTTATGAGTTGACTTCAGCATCACGAACCTGAAAAAATCAAGTTATGGAAATCATTTTACCTGTGCAGTATTTTTTTCATATGGAAAGACTTTACATCCCTTTGCATATGGAAATGACCTAACAACTAAACCATCCAATTTTGCTTTTTCATCCCACATAACAAAGTGTTAGTGTCATTACTAGTTAATCTTTAAGGCCTCTGTCAAGCTCTCCTTGTTTCACTTTGCTAACCTCTTACTCTTAATTCCAGATTTGTGAAGTTCTCCATGCCAAACATCCCTGACTTTGAGACGCTCTTCTCCCAAGTCCAGCTCTTCATCAGTACCTGCAATGGGGAGCACATTAGATATGCAACAGACACTTGTAAGTCCAGACAACCAGACCTCTCACCAGATGTTGCTGGTCGTTTTTTATGTTGTACAGGTTTTCAGTTGAACAAGAACAGATTTCTACTCTAGCCAGAATTCTTTTGCATATTTTGTTGAGAGCATGTACTCTGCTAACATATGCACGATTGTCAGCTACACTGTGCCACACTACAACTAAATTATGCACACTTCTCGTGCACGCTCATTACCCAGTTTTGGACATATCTCAGATACTGTTTTTTCCAGTGTCCGCTGGCAAGCTCTAAAGATTTTTTTGAAACAACCAAAAATAAGAACATGTAGCACAGTTAGGATGGTATGGCATCTGTAATGTAGATTGTAATGGTCAAGTAAATGATGTATCGTAGTGTTATTGTAAATTGCCTTTAATTTCGGAGAAAGTCCTAATGTTAGATAACTTGAACCTTTTTGAGCTTTAGGAAAAACACTGTATGTACAGGGATGGGGCGATTCATCTACGCAATGGATGTCCTCGATTCCGAAAATACGGCGATTTGCGTAACGTGCGCCGGCACAGACGATGCCATCATCGATGGCTGACAGACACCACGACGTTGAGCCGGCATCGTGATTATACCACCCTGTGAAAGCAGGCTTTAATCCCCACGAATATTATTATTATTATTATTATTATTATTATTTTTAAAGGGCTATACCTGCTTTGCACCTGCCTCGGAATTCTCTTCTCCTCAGACTCAGACACAGTCACACACATACAGCTACACCTGCAGTGTCTCACTGCACACACACCGGTTTGCCCCGCCTCTCCCTGTTTTATAAAGTTGCCTAAAAGACACAGAACTCGTCTTTTTTCCCTAATTTTCCTATGAAACAACCAAACCAACATCTGCACTCTAGTGTCTACTGTTGCTTTACCTGGTCTGTGATGTATAACGTAATAGGGTACCAAGTTTTTACTGAGTGAAGTCTGTGCGAGTGAACAAACATATGCACATAAGACGACCGCTCCCCTTTTTGAATTTGAGTTCTAATATTTTTCTGATCTAGCATCTGACAAATAGTCTATTATTGATGTTGTTAATAATATCATATCACAGCAGTGATTAGGAAATTGGACACATTTTAAATTATGCCACTCATTATTCTGATGTGCTTTATGTGTCACTGTAACGGCTGATAATTGAATAAAATATTGAAATATTATAAAGTAATCTTTAGGTGCAGTTCTAATGAAGTGTTGATGTGTCCTGTACACA